GCCCACCAAGCCACCAGCTTTGAAACAGAGATGAGCAAAGACCACCAGCTTTGAAACAGAGATGAGTCAGGAACGACTAGCACATATGTCCGAGGGGAACCTTTACCTTTACCTAAAGACTCAAAACTAATTCTGCACTTGAGGCGTCCCCCTTTCCTGGCTGAGTGTTTCCCAACAGCAGCTCAAATCAGAAGTTGGTAGGGCTGATTAACATTTGGAATTAAAAACAAAAACATTCTTTCAAGCATGCCAGGGTGCATATGGACCTCTACTACGGGACCGCCTACTACCATCAACAGCCTCCCACCGACCAGTACGCTCCCACAGAGAGGGGCTCCTCCAGGTGCCGTCGGCCAAACAATGTCGGCTGTCGGCCCCTAGGGGGAGAGCCTTCTCTGTGGGGGCACCGACGATCTGGAATGAGCTCCCCCCAGAGATACGGAGGATTCCGGATCTGCGCACCTTCCGCCGCGAGTTGAAGACGCTTTTGTTTCATCAAGCTGGCCTCGCCTAAATCTCCTCCTTTCTAAAGTGTAAATTCTAAATTTTAATGGATTTTAAAATATGGGTATTTTAAATTGGGTATTAATTCAGCCAAATTTATTTAATTCATTTTATTCGATTTTAAATTTTGTATATCTATGTGTTTTATTTCATGGCTGTGCACCGCCCTGAGTCCTTCGGGAGTAGGGCGGTATAGAAATTCAATAAATAAATAAATAAATAAATACTATCCACAACACCGTGGACATGTCTTTTCCTGACACTGCTTCAACTGCAGAGGAAAATCCCAGGAAAAGATGCAGCTGCTTTAATGAACTGTCTGCAAGTGCTAAATTAACATCCTGATACGTTACCCAAATGCCCTTTTGTCCCTCAAGTCCAAGTGACATACTGCCGTAGAAGTTAACACTGCAACTGTCACTGTTTTATAAATTTCAGTCTTTTTCTGATTGGGGAGCTTTTTTTAGCACTTCATGTGCTATAAGGCAAAAGAGAAGTGTTTCAACAATTAATATTCTATCCTTCAGTTAAAAATTGTCAGAGAGGAAATTATGCAACACCTAGTTTTAAGAGACAGAGGAACAATTAAATCTAGCAGCGCCAACATTAATTAAACTTCAACAAAATGTTGGAAAGCTTCTATACCTAACAAGCCTCTATTCTATATTTGGTGCAAAAATCTTTTTCTCCAGTTACATCCACCCACCATATTATGCAATGATTCACAACAGTCAGATTGCAAAAATGGGGGAGTCTGAAAAGCTGCAAGAGAAATTTCACTTATTTCACTGATATGTAGCCAGCTTACTAGCATCCAGATATGACAACAAAAGCAATGTTCCTTGAAATACTTGAAATCCTAAATTGCATTAATAGAGGGATACAATCAAGATCAAGTGAGGTACTAATACCACTGTATAAAGCCTTAGTAAGATCACACCTAGAGTACTGCATCCAGTTTTGGTCACCACTCTATAAAAAAGATGTTGAGACTCTAGAAAGAGTGCAGAGAAGAGCAACCAAGATGATTAGAGGACTGGAGGCTAAAACATATGATGAATGGTTGCAGGAACTGGGCATGGCTAGTCTAGTGGGGAGAAGGACCAGGGGTGACATGATAGCAGTGTTCCAATATTTGAGAGGCTGCCACAGAGAGGAGGGGAACAACCTATTTTCCAAGACACCTGAAGGCCAGACAAGGAATAATGGATGGAAATTGATCAAGGAGATATTCAAACTAGAAATAAGGAGACAATATCTAACAGTGAGAACAATCAACCAATGGAACAGTTTGCCTTCAGAAGTTGTGGGAGCTTCATCACTGGAAGCTTTCAAGAAGAGACTGGACAGCCATCTGTCAGAAACGGCATAGTGTCTGCTATTAATCTGTATCTGTATCTACTTTTACATGTATTTGTTTATACACACATACAAACTTTTTATACCACCTACCTCAGAGACTTGGGGCCATTAAAATAACAATTCCCACACGAACAAAAATCCCCAACGCAACAAATCCCCAAAATATAACAGAGTTAACCTGAATCCCCCATCAACACCAAATTTTTAATGGAATATGCAGTTTCCAGAAACTACAAAACTATAGAACACTCTTTCAGGCCACTATTGAGAAGGAATGCTTTCAGAGCCTCATCTCAAATAGGTGGGACTTTTTATTTATTTATTTATTTATTATTTATTTATTTATTTATTTTATTTCTATACCGCCCTTCTCCCGAAGGACTCAGGGCGGTGTACAGCCTAATTAAAAACACAAAGACAGACAATATTTAAAAATAATTAAAATTATTAAATAATAGGCCCGATTTCTAAAACCCCAAATTTAAAATCCCATTTAAAACCAATTAAAATCTTTATATTGATAGCCCAGCCTGGCTTTTACCTTCTTGAGATGGATGCAGAGAATAAGAGAAATGAGGGCTGAAAATAAGAGAACTGGTTCTGGAGATACGCAGAGGCTTAGCCACAAAGAGATTTGAAAGTTAAGAACAGATCTGATTATACCAGAAATGTAAAAAAAAAAAAAAAAAAAAAAAGCTTCTGACACGTGATGATTAAGATGCTGGAGTGATACAAAGAAGACTCACATTCAATCAAATGTCTGGAAGCCCACTTGATGACTTTGAGCCAGTCATTAATTCAGATGAACCTTTTTCAAAGGGTTATTATTGTAGGGGAAAATGAGAAAAAAAAATAATATAGCACTTTCTAAGCGTCCTGGATGAATGGTGGAATGTAAATATAATAAATAAAATATTTCCTGTGTTAATTCAGTGCTTTGGGTCTGTTATGAGTTGTCTGGTTTTGGCTTAATCATTAAATAAATTCAGCCACTGTGTTTGGTAAACCTGGTTTATGAGATATGGTGATATGCGAACTCAGTCAGTTGTGACTTATTCAATAAAAATTTAGGGAGCTCTGTGAACAGGGTCATTTAAAGAAACATTTTAACACCCATAAAGTTTTTGCAATAAAGCTTTAGGGAAGGGGGAAAAAACCACTCAAGAGTTTCAACTAATCTCAAAGTTAACAAATAAAAATAAAACATGAACCTAAAACACATACAAAAGAATCAGAAAGAAATAAAATGTTTTTAGTTTTGTGAGAAAACCAACAACAGGGAAAACAAACTTAATACCAATAACAATACCAGTTTTGAGAATGCTTTGCTTTGATGAACCTTCCAACTCACCTTTCAAGGTCACCTCATTGGAGTCAATATAAGAGCTCATCTATCCACTTTTCTTTTCATGACATGGCAGAGAGCAAGTTATTTTTAACTAAGGAGTTTGGAACAAGCAAGTCCACAACATTTTAGAACAGCCACTAGAAAGATCTCGTTACTTTCACCCTGCTTTGAATGTAAAAACCTGTATCCTATTAGTACAATTTAGCTGCCTTTGGCTGCTCCAGACTTAAAAGTCCATGTTGGTTCAAATAAAATGAAGATATTACTTTATTTTAAAGTAAAGATATTACATTTTTACTAAAACATAAATATAATAATAATGATCTTTAAACATAATAAAGATATGTTTTTACATTTCATTATTCTTCAAACCTGAAATTAGAAAAAAAAATCAAGTTTGGCTGTAATCTCTCTGGCAAAGAAACTCTTCTCTCAAGATCCAATACAGACTTTCAATATAGATTCCTATCTCAGAAAGATGAGATATGGAAAGACCAAAGTCACTTCCCTTTACATTTACATTTTTGATTTTCAGGGGATCTCCAGATCTCATCAGTATATAGGCAGCAAGAAAGATAAAATATGCCATCCTCCTCCTAACAACTGTTTGCATCAAATTCCAAATTCTTTATAACTATATTTAGATACAAACGAATATATTACTGCATGCATAGAGTATGCAGCCCAATTTTTTAGTTTGTTTTGTTTTATTTATTTGTGAAATTTATAAAACCGCCTCACAATTTGTGAGTACATCAATAATTATTTTTTTAAAAACCAAATTAAATCAAAAGATATAGACATAGCCTAGTCTGAGTGCAATATATCCCTCTGTAAGAAAATTTCCAGATATACTGAAATATAATTCCCAATAATATCAACTAATATTGGATGGGCAAACAATTCATGAATTCTTCAGGAAAACAAAACATAGCTAAGCATAATGTATAGTTGGGGACCAACAAGAAAAATTAAACTAGGAAACACAATTTTAGTTTAAATTATTTTGTAAGGATTTAATTTTATGGCCTCAGGGAGGATGCACAAGGAGCCATAGGATTTTGGTGGGTTCCATTTTTATAAGTCAAGAAGGAAAATATTCTGCCCTTGAAATGTATGTCATAGTTTCAGTGAAAAAAATCCATCACTGCTGTTTTTCATAGCACTAAAAGGAAGCCATCTGAAATGGCTTTCCTTAGTCAAAAAAACTTCATATCCATCAGTTCCAAAGCACTCATATTACACCCAGCTATCCTGAGAATTAATGGAAAGAATATTTAATAAATTCCTTCTTCCCTCCAAAAATGAATGCCGCTGAAAGGTAACAAGGCAAAAATACTCCATCCATCTTTGCTTTCCATGCTATAGGCCAGTGTGGTGAACCTTTTACTCACTGAGTGTCGAACAGGTACTCCATCTGCTCATGTGCACTGTGCGCCAGTATTCTCTCATGCATGTGCAAATGCGCGCACCTGCAGGAGAGCTCCAAAGACCAGCTGGGTCCCCTGAATTGCACGCATGCGCACCGGAGGCCCGAACACCAGCTGGGGCACACGCACATGCGCAGCTGCAGGTGAGTTGGCCAACAGCTCGCATGTCCGAAAAGATGGCTCTGTGTACCACCTCGGGCACGTATGCCATAGGTTCACCATCACAGCTATAGGCCTAGTAAAGTTTTGAACGTGTACTTCTTCTGCCACAGGTTCTCCATCCATTCAGATTGCTCAGGTTGGTTTCTTCAAAATAGGCAACAGCAATAAAACGTGCAAACATCTTAAATACTTACAGGGTCTCTCAGTTCATCGTAGCCTGATGTACGAGGTATTTTCATAGGGATTTCATCTCCACATTCAGTATCTGAAGCACTGGGAGACTCTGCTAAGTCCGGGAACTCATCTCTCTTATGTCCTCTGAACCTTATTTTGTCCAACCTCTTTAGCATGTTCAGCACTGCACCTTTCTGCTTTATCTTAACATGACGGTTGGAGTCCCTGAAGAACACAAAGGGGAAAAAGAAAGGAAAGCATAAGATTATTATCAGGACATGTATTTAACATACTGTATTTTTCCGAGTATAAGACGCACCGGAGTATAAGACACACCTTAGTTTTTTGGGGAGGAAAATAAGAAAAAAGCTGATTGGCGGGTGGATCAGTCTCCTGGAATACCCCCAATCAGCTGTTCCCTGAGGTGAATTTTAGCAAAAGATTCGTTGGTTGTGAGCTCTGTGCCTTGCTTTTTTTTTCTGCCTCTGAAACTTCTGAAACTCTGTTTCAGGGAAAAACTTTTTTTTCTGCCTCTGAAAGCCTCCGAAACAGAGCTTCAGAAAAAAAGCCTCTGAAGCTCTGTTTCTGAGGCTTTTTTTTCTGAACCTCTGTTTGGAGGCTTTTTTTCAGACTGCATTCTGATTCAGTCATATTTGGACCTGATACACTAAATCAATGGGATATATTAGATCAGCTACTTATACTGATTTCAATAAGTCAGTACTAAATAAATCTATATCAAATCCACGTTCCTTTCCCCTAGACACATAATGAAAATGACGGTTGGGTCAAAGTGTGTGTATTTTATCTAATTAAACATACATTACACCAATATAAAATTTTAGTTGACTTAATAGAATATGAATATATATCATTCATTATGAAGATCTGGAAATGTATTGTTTCTAAGTGTGCAGTATGAGCTAAGAAATTCTAGGTTTCATTCTCATAAGTTTAGGGAAACTTATCCTTGGCCCCAGCATGGTACAGAGATAAAAGTATTAATATTGCTAATATTATTAATAGAAGCAATACTAATAAGCTAGCATCAGTGCAAAATTAAGAAATATACCAAAGAAAAATATAACTATTACCATTTTATTTGGCATACAAAAATGCCAAAAAAGACCAATAGAGGCGAAAAAATATCCCAGATATGTTAAGATTTGTGTGCAGTAACTTTGTTTGGCTTACATTCATCATTCCAATAAGATTAAATTACAAGAAATTCACAATTATCTACCTAACAAATGAAAACAATCACAGTAATACACAGTCAGTCCTTCACACAGCACAATAAGCATAAACGTATCCAGGATCAAAGATTAAATCCTGCTGGAATCCATAAGCTTCCATACTGACAGCTGCCCATCTTGCTGGGATTGAAGTTAAACCTCTTTCTCCCCATTCCAAGATTGACAGTCACAGGAACAAAAGCTTAAATGCAACTCTTATTTGGAGATAGATATCTAAGCATATTGATGAAACCTCACACACCTCATCAGATTACTTTCTCATTGGCTTCATGTGGATATTAGGGTAGGGGAGAGAGTTGAGCCCTATGGCAGTCTACAAAAGAGAAACCACAGACTCAACCACTTCTACTAGCCCCACTGCCATCATCGGTAACAATTTGCTCAGGAAGGAGAACCATGTTAAGTGTCCTCCATAGACAATCTTTGCAGAAGGAACTCACAGGCTGTAACATCAAAGACAGTAGCAGACCCCCCCCAATACTACCATACTAGAACATAATGCTCTTGTCCCATGCTTATGACCTCAAACCAAAGTATGATTTGAACTGAAAAAAATCTACAGCTGGGAACATGCTGTACGAATTAGAAGAGGAAAATCCTCATATCTGCAATCTTAGAAATTGCTTAAGAGCAAAAACAGCTCAAACACTTAAAACAAGCCATGAAATATGCAGATCTGCATTCCTAGGGATAACATATTCTGTGTCACTGACTCTTCTTTTATGGCATTCTCCTATTCACATAAACACAACCATAGATACAGTAGTGGCCAAAATTGTGGAAATATTTTGGGAAAAGTGTATTTTTGAGGTTTGATGGCTAATATCACTTTTTTTTTTTTGTGGGGGGGGGGGGAGTTGAAGACATAATCATATTCCTGGAATGGTCTGGCAATAGCCCAGACCTTAACGCAATTGAAAGTCTATGGAGCCGACTAAAGAAACTTGTTAGGCAGAAGTGATCCAGCAATAAAACCCAGTTAATAAAAACAATCATTCAATCTTGGGTTCACATTATAACACTGCAGCAGAACTCAAAGACTTGGTTCACTCCAGTGGGAAGACCTTGTAAGGCCGTAATTCTGTGCTAAAGGTTACCCAACGAAGTATTCAACTGACTTGATAATTTTTGTATATCTCATTTTTTCTATGGTGATAATTTTGTATATCTCATTTTTTCTGTGTGTTTCACTTTTATTCTTTATACTGTAACTGCTATCTAATAGCAAATCCTTCACAAAAGTTATTGCATTACATTGTTGATTAAATTATCTTTCCATTGATATATAATTTTATGATATACTACAAAAAAGTTGTATTATTAGCTAGTTTTAGAAAATACACTTTTCCCAAAAGGATTCCACAATTTTGGCCACTACTGTTACTTAACATATCATTCATATACGGGAGATACACTTTCCCATAATCTTTTACAATTGACTGACATTTAGTAACGCTAGCTGTCCTTTTCTTAACAGGTGTCCGCCAAACCAGCAACACACAGTCCACATCCATCTCAAGTTCTACCTTTGTAAGCAGTCTGAAAATTCACATAAAACTATTCTCTAACCCTTCAATAGGTGGAGTAAAAATCCATGTTTTTGTAAAAACACCATGAGAAGACAAAGGGTACATCTTTATTTTTATTTTACATCTAGATCTTCTTACACAAAGGTCAAATTTTGCTCCATCCTCAAGGGTTATTTTACCGCAAAGTACATACTGTGTGATACTACAACTAAATGCCTACAAGAACATCGTAAGAGAGAGTATTTATTTATTTATTTGTTTGTTTGTTTGTTTGTTTGTTTGTTTGTTTGTCCAATTTATATGCTGCCCTTCTCCGTAGACTCAGGGCGGCTTTTAATGCATATAGGCAATAGCCTGCATACTTTTTGGGGGGGGTTATGTTTGTTTATTATTTATTTATATATTTATTATTTGGGCTTGTATGGCCGCCCTCTCTCCAAAGGACTCAGGGCGGCTCACAACAATAAATACATAAATTCAATTATAAAAATATAAATTGCTTATTAATTTATAATAAAATAATATCTGCTTATTAGGGCTTTCAGTCCCCCCTAAGCGGTGTTGTTCTATACAAAGTTGGCTTATTGTCCCCAACAATCTGGGTCCTCATTTTTACTACCTCGGAAGAAGATGGAAGGCTGAGTCAACCATGAGCCGGTGAGATTTGATCTGCTGATCTGCTGAAACTAGCAGTCAGCTGAAGTAGCTGCAGTACTGCACTCTAACCACTGCGCGCACCTCGGCTCATGAGTAGACTTCAAGATCAGTGAAAATATCAAAAACGCTACCATTCTCACTACCGTCCATTTGCTTGGCCCACAGAGGAGCTAAGCAACATACTATCTTTAGCCAACCCATGCCATAGCAGATGAGCCTAAAATTAAAAAACAAAGGCATAAAAAAGGCGATAAGGGGTTGGGACATTACATCGTATGATGAACAGCTGAGGGAACTAAGTATGTTTAGCCTGATGAAGATAAGGCTCAGGGAAGACTTGAGGGCTGTCACAGGGAAGAGAGGGGTCAAGAGGGGATCAACCTGAGCAGAGGAAAGGATGGAAGGATGGAAGCTCATCAGAGAGATATTCAACCTTGAAAATAAGGAGCAATTCCCTGACAGTGAGAACGATTAATCAATGGAACGGCTTGCCTCCTGGAGTAGTGGTGCTCCATTTCTGAAGGTTTTCAAGAAGAGATTGGACAACCATTTGTTCTGGGATGGTATAGGTTTTTATGCCTTGGGCAGGGGGGTTGGATTAGAAAACCTCCAAGGTCCCTTCCAGCCCTATAATTCTAAGATTTATTGATTTATTTCTCCCTCCTTTGGTTTTGAATAAATGTAGGCTCTTTTAAATCCATCATAATTTATTGCTATTATTGTGTTACCGCGTTTCCCCGAAAATAAGACCCTGTCTTATATTTTTTTGAACCCTGAAATAAGCGCTTAGCCTTATTGCCATGCACTCAAAAGCCTCATTGGGCTTATTATCAGGGGATGTCTTATTTTGGGGGAAACAGGGTAGTAGTATTAGGTTTGAGATGTAATTCTTCTGATACTTTACTGAGCTTACTTTATTATTTTAAGGTAGGAGAGGGCACTAAGTTGGCTATCACTCCAGCAAATACCCTCTGGAAGAGCTCTTTTATTGTATTGTATACTGTATGTTTGTAGTTCATATTATCTTTTATTACGATTTAAATAAAAACTATTGTTGACAATTTCCCTTGAAACTGAATGGAAAACAATGGAAAGTCAGGGAAGGTGGCTGTTGAAAGCCAAGACGGAATGATGTAACAAAAAACGGGCATATCTCCCTACATCTCTCTCACCCATGAGAATCTCATCAAATTTTTATTTTCTTTTGGGAAAAATAATCGGAAGCCGTTTTGTTTCCAGCACCCCTAATGATGATGAATGATAAAAATGCAAGGAATTTTTCAGCACAGCACCAGTTCAAAGGATCAGCAGTAAATACTTAAGACTTTACATAATTTTTTTTTACAAAATTACAAACTATAATAAGATCTTGCTTAACAACTGCTTGTCGATCGAAAGGTCGGCAGTTCAGCAGGGTATAACGGGGTGAGCTCCCGTTACTTGCCCCAGTTTCTGCCACTTCGAAAGCACGTAAAAAATGCAAGTAGAAAAATAGGGACCACCTTTGGTGGGAAGATAACAGCGTTCTGTGAACCTTTGGCATTTAGTCATGCCGGCCACATGTCTTCGGACAGCGCTGGCTCTTCGGCTTTGAAACGGAGATGAGCACTGCCCCCTAGAGTCAGGATTGACTAGCACATATTTGCGAGGGGAACCTTTACCTTTACCAACTGCAAGTAACAGATTTGGGAAGACTGGCTTGTAAAACTTACACAAAAGCCAAAAACAAAAACAAAAAACCATGCGCATTTCATATTGAAAATCATAAAAGCCAACAGATGGG